AAACACACACACACATCCCTTATCCACTTAAATATCAGGCTTTCATCCGCGGCAGGGTTTGAACCCCGGGCGTGCGCCTAACCCGAACAACCACACATCACATAATGTGCTCTTACTAGACCAAAGCCATAGGGCCAGGTGAATATTCTTTTTCGGAAGTTAATTTAGAAGTATCGTCGCTATTTAAATGCAAACCAGACAGAAAATAATCTCCAATACCAGTCAACTAATGGTAAGTATCTAAGAGAAGGCTTGACTCTGAAGATGGTAAGTATCTTAGAGCAGAGGTCGGTCTGGCCATCAATGAGTTAAGACTAAGCACAGTATATTCCATATCAAAACTGGGATATCTTTAAAAAAGGTGCCAAAAGCAGGAGGGGAAAAGGGTTTGAAGAGAGGTTACTACACCCTCTTAAATTTGACTTGTGTAATCTCACTCCGATTTCTCCATATTCTTCATAGATAACAGAAAACATATCTACTAACTCTGCTTCTATGAGCTCTACTCAGATAATGAAAATGTAGATTTGCTTATCAGGTTTAGGTTCCCAACTAGTATACCATGTCTAAAAACGTCTTACTTAGGGACACCCTTGAATTTGATTCGCGTATTGACTATTTGGCTTCCACTCATATAAAGGATTTTAAATTTAGGTAGAAAATGGCATGCCAAGTCGTAAAGCATTCTATCTGCAATTGGCATATACTACTTGTGCATATATGACAAAGCTCTCATTCTCTTACCTTTGTGACGCAATAGTAAGTTCGCCCTGACTCCCAAATTCGACGGCCTATAATGTATTCTCTATCACTGCAAAAGAAGGGAAACTGGACCAAAAATGAATTTATGTAAGCCATAGTTCAATTAGGCAATTTCAAAGGTATGCACAAGTCAAGAAAGAGTAGGCGCTCATACCTTACGCACCCACTGAACCATCATGGTTCCAGTGTTAGGACACTCTTCCAAAGTTTCAGCATGTATAAGCATGTCATCCCACTTCAACCGAAATTCATCATCCCAGAAGAAATCCCTCACCATTTCTGGAGTGGCATCCTCATATATAGTTCTGCTACGATATTGCGGGGGTCCAGTCTAGCATCAGGATATTATAAATGCAATCCAATTAGCCAATTAAGTGCAACATAGTTAAATTAAAGGCACATAACATACAAGGCCAGGAGGAAGAGAAATGTACCTCAGGATCTCTACGCCAAGCTTGATAGGACATGTTTGAGGTAGAACGGTCCATCATCTGAATCCAAGCGGGTCCTCCATTTGATTCTTCAACCAATCCGTCTAAGTAAAGAAGGTCTGCCTCTGTTACTACTGATTTCTCGCCTTCCAGCTCGGATGAACTGTTAACAGCACATTCAATTAAATGAAATTTTATCTTATGCAAGATGAAACAAAACAAAAAGATAAGAGACTTTCCAACTAACCTGAAGCTCGAACATGAAACGGTGGGCGGGGACTGAGTTTCCTTGATCCAAGGAATGTTGCAGGTGGGAAGTTGGAATTTGAGAGTATTGAGGGAAGCAAACCCAGATGACAAGTTCTGGAGGAGCATACCGGAAGAAGAAGAGGAGGCAGAAACATCATCAGGGCCAAGCTTAGCCCACTTGGGCTTCCATGCCCATCCCACCAATACCCCAACAACAACAGCAATCCAGATGGGACCCATAAACATCACCAGCTCTAATAATACCTCCCAAAAACTAGGTCTTTCTAAAATCTCAAGCAAAGCCGCCACCAAAGCCATAATAACAAGCAACAAAAAACAAAACAAAAAAGATACAACCCCCGATTCAATCGTTAAAAAGGTACAACCTTTGAGCACGGCGATGAGTCGAGGGTTTCAAAAAAGAAAAGAAAAGATAAGGATAGAGAAAACCAACCCTAAGGATAAATAAAGATAGCAACTTGCAAAAGGGAAGTAAAAGAAAGAAGAAGAAGCAGAAGAAATATACTAAATGGATGGAATAAGAAAAGATAATAAGCTAGATAGATGAAGGAATAGATTTAGATAGAGAAAGAGAGGAGACAAAAGGGGGTGGGGGGGAAATGGGAATAGTCAGAAAGAGGATAAGGATGTGAGATATTAGCGGTAGAGAAACGTGTTACTCGATTGCTGGTAGGCCCTCTTTCATTTCACGCCCTTCTCTTGTACTCCTCACAATTTAGCTTCTAAGCGTGAGAGCCACACGGAATAAGAAAATCCAGCTGAATAAATTGCTACTACTACTTTGTTGTTATTGTAGAGTGGACAGATGGTTGTGGTTTCGAAATTAATTAAATGAATTGTAGGTGCAACTTTTATAATCTGAGGTTTTAGTTAGAAAGAGAAAATAAAAGATGAGAACATTGGTTTTTAATTGACACAAAGAAGGGATATTAGTGCTGGTTTTATGTATTTTGGTTTGGTAGGTTAATGTGGTTCTTTAGAGAGAGAAAGAGAGGTGTTAGGAAAAGATGCTCTTTGGCTTTAGAATGAAAAAGGGTTGGTTAAATACGACTCCAACTTTGGAGTAGTATCGCCGCGTTTTTATCTTTCTCGTTCAAACCATTTGACTTTGGCTCTCTATCTCGTTATGTGTTCTGACCAGCCAACATTACATCAACGTTGTACGACTAATAGTTGTGTACTCTTCTTATGCTTCATGTGTGATTAAAAGGATTTGGCATGGTATATTGAATTTATTATTATAACTCATTAAACTATAAGGGAGCCATTGGTTTATGGACAAGTTATAATGTGTGTGTAATATAAATTATACGGAATTAAATAATTATAAAATTATTTAGTGAATATATATTTATTAGTATATGTTTGGTTCATTAGTCAAAAAGTAGGTACGGAATACAATATAGAATATGTGTTTGATTTTATACTAGAAAACTTGAATAAATTTTTATTTTTAATTTTAACCTTGACTTTCTTAAAAGACTTTAGGAGAGAGGACAAATATCTTATTTTGTTGTTTCGGTGTGAGATTAGTAATTCTCGGACTATTATCCCTCAGTTCTTTTTTAACCCCCTCCCAAATTAGGAGGATATATAGCGTTTTCACATTTCCCCTCCAGCGTGACTCGAACCCATGACCTAACGGTCGTGGGTGGAGGTGCTTTACCAACTGAGCAAGCGTCACTTGTCTTATCCCACATTGAATAAGGTAAAAAACAAATACTAGTCCACAATTATGGTATAAATTGGGTGAGGACTAGTTATACTATAATAAAACTCAATTAAACGATAATTATATATTATATGTCGAGATTATATACCTTATCCTTATAACCAAACGATCCCCAATAGTACACAGTGATGTCAATTCATAACCTGTTTGGCCAAGCTTCTCAANCAGAAGGCTAGATCCGTCTCTGCTTGGAATTATATTAAACTACAAGGAATAATAACTTGTTTGGTCAAGTTTCTCGAGAGGCCAAAAGTGTTTTTTCCCCAAAAGCACCTTTTATTTTTCCTAACTTGAGGTGTTTGGCCAAGTTTTATTGGGAGAAGGGGGAGGGGGAGTGCTTTTGGGAAGAAGCAGAAAAAAGTAACTTCTCCCCAAAAGCAGAATCAAAAGCAATTTTGACTTTTCTTCTTATCAAAAATACCTTTAACAAAATATAGTATATACCAAAATAACCGTTAAACCTAATACTTAGGATATTAATGTATAAATATTTTTTATTATTTTTAGGATAGCTTTCTAATGTATAGTGATTTTAGGGGTGGTGAATGCTTTTATATTTGTTGAATGATTTTTAATATATTTAACTTATATTAAAAGAATTAAGTATTTTTAAATTTTATTTTCATATTTTACTTAAATAAAATGAAAAAATTTAATTATTCCATGTAATAAAAAAAATTAAGATTATTTATTTACTTATTAATTAACTATTAAGTAAATTTATTCATGTCCTTATTCGTAATTTGATACTTAAAAGCACTTTCTGAAAAGCTTGGTCAAACACAAATTATTGATCAAAAGTGTTTTTCATAGTGATTAGTCAAACACAAACTGATTCTCTTCAAAAGTACTTTTTTCAAAATCACTTTTGAAAAAAGCACTTCTCAAAATAAGCTCATTTTTTTTTTTTGGCAAATAGGCTATTAGTGGACTTCATTTTTGTTTTTGTTTTTATTTTTATTTTGTTCTCTCTTGATGGGGTAGGTTGGTGGGGTTCTTCTGATAATAGCATGAAAATAATGTTATCACAAAAGTTTCACGTTTTACACACAATTTGATGCCATTTCACGGAAGAACCAACACCTAGTATTTTTAGTGATGGTGGGTATGTCTTTTCTTCTTCATTAGTATAGTCTCGGAGAGATCTATGATGTCGTGACCTTCAAGAGTTGAAGTGTCACAAGGCCTCGACCGCCACGCTCATTGCTCTTCCTTAATTTTCCAATTAGGGGATTTTGATATGTGAGAAAGTTTAGAGGTAAAAAATCTTATAGAATTGAAAATTAAGGTGAAGCAATACTAGTACTAGTAGTAGGATAAAATGAGCAGTTGATTGTCAGATTAAACAGTTTAATTAGGATCAAACCCTTGACGCGGATAGTTGTTGGCAAACTCATTAAACTATTACAACTAGTTTCCTAGACTTGTTTAAGCTTTGGAACGATTAACATTTACATTCTCCCTTTGACAGCTTAAGTAACAACGTGGGATTATCAATTGCGAATTTCTGCAGGTCAAATTCAATTCTATTTAATATATATATTTTAGCCTTAGGCTTTTTAACGTCATATAATCACAAAAATGACTTTTAACCAAGAATTGGTACTAGCCACTAAAATACAATTTCTTCACGATGGAGTTATGCAAACTGAAGACCACAATGGCACACACTATTCTCCTCCCTTTTATCCTTTTTTGTGTTTTCCATTCCTGGTATGGTAGTAGTAGCAAACAGATTTTTTTTTGTAAATCCCCCAACTTTAACGTGGATGGCTTGTCTTTGACCAAATCAAATTTGGTGCAGAAAAGTTAATACTAAGACATCAATTGCTAATCTAGCAAAAAAAGGACTAAGAAAAAGGCCAAAAATGATAGTAACAGTAAACTGCGCAGAAAACATAGTTCATCTCCGACCAAACCTTACTCTGATGTCAAAATATATCTATAAATTTGTAAGTCAGAATTCAAAAAGTGGCCGGTGCATCATACTGATGCTGATTTGCTACACCATTCACCATTTAATCCAACTTCTGCCCCATGTAGTGGTACTCCTTCTTCCATACTCTGTCTTGTAAAGTTGTAACTCACATTTGGACCACCCATTCCATTTCGCCTAAAATTTAGTGGATCATGAGATATAGCTTTACGAAGAATACTCGTTTTGACAAATATCATTTTTTAGCCTTTCGGGAAGATGAAATAGGAATTAGTGATTATATTCACTTTTTCGGGTGTTTATGTACATGATGATTTTATTGAATTTGATAGACGGACTCTAATTGACCTAAAATTAGGTGGATCCATCGGATACGACTTTATGAGCAATACTCAACATGACTAATGTTATGTTTTGGTATTTCAGGGTCATAAGAATACTATGCATGACCACTTGGATCCTACCAATGCTTAAAAAGTTAACGGACTCCGATTGACATGAAATTTGTTGGGTCCGTCGGAAACAACCTAGTGACTAATATGCATTGCTTCACCATGACTAGCATCCTTTTTTTTTGGCATTTTGGGGTAATTTCTAAATTTCAGGTCAATCGAAGTCCGTTAAAAAATTTCTTCAAAATTTGCAAGTATTAATACACACGAAAAAGTGGATATAATTAAAAATTCGCGTTGCATAACCCCGAAACGCCATAAAATGAACCCGAAACGCCAAAAAGCGACGTTAGTTATGCCAAAGCTATAAGTATTGATCACTTGGTCGTTTTCTATGGACCTACAAAATTTCAAGCCAATCGGAATCCGTCCGAAAAAATTTACTACAGAATCACCACGTATATTACATACGAAAAAGTGGATGTAATCACAAAGTCGTGTTGTATGACCCTAAACACCAAGAAATGAATCTGAAAGTCATGACGAAGCGTAAGTATTGGTCACTAGGCCGTTTCTTATTGGCCTACAAAATTTCATGCCAATTGGAGTCTGTCAAACAATTCTACCAAATCAACATGTACTACTATATATAAAAAGTGTATATAATCATAAATTCGAGTTGGATGGCGCAAAAATACCATAAAATAAACTCGAAAATTATGGCGAATCAGTAATTATTGGTCACAAGGTTATTTCCTAGGACTTACCAAATTTCAGGCCACATAGAGTCTGTAATTACTTTTAACAAAATCAGCATGTACTAATACACATGAAAAAGTTGATATAGTCATAAACGTGTTGCATGATCCTGAAATACCATAAAATGAACCCGAAAGTCATGGCGAAGTAATGAGTATTGGTCACTAGGCCATTTCCTATGGACCTACAAAGTTTTAGGCCAATCAGAATCCGGTAAATATTTTTTTCACAAAAATAACATATACTAATACACACGAAAAAATGGCCAATGGGAGTCCATAATATTTTTATACAAAATTAGCACGTACTAATACACATAAAAAAAAATAGATCTAATCACAAATTATTGTTTCATGACCATGAAATACCATAAAATGAACCCAAAAGCTATAGGGAAGCAATAAGTAATGATCACTAGGTCGTTTTCTATGGACCCACCAAATTTTAGGTCAATCGGAGTCTGTCAAAAAAATTCTTCAAAATCAGCATGTATTAATACATACGAAAAAGTGAATTTGAGCCATAAAATTCTTCAAATCGGGATGTACTAAATTCTTCAAAATAGTTCACACCATCCGTATGAATTCGGGCGACCGTCCCCGAAACTTCTAAAATTTTGCGGGCCCATAAAAAATGACGTGATGAATAATAGTCATCGCTTTGCCATGACATTCCCCGTTTTTGGCTTTTTAGGGCCATAAAACAGGAATTCAGGACGATTTTGTAGATTTTCATGTGCTATAGCCCACGATATCTGCATAAATTCGAGATACCGACCCTTGAATATCCTAAAATTTTGCGAGCCTATCAAAAATAATATAATGAAATTTAATCATGGCTTCGCCATAATTGTTTCTCGTTTTTAGCGTTTTAGGGCCATAAAACAGAAATTCAGGACGATTCCCAGATTTTTCGTGTGCTATAGTCCACGTCATCTGCATGAATTCGATTGATCGGTTCTAAATCTCCTAAAATTTTACAGTCCCATCAAAAAAGATCGAATGAATAATAGTCATTGATTCACCATGATCGTTCCTCAATTTTTGGCGTATTAGAGCCATAAAACAAGAATTCAGGACGACTTCCAGATTTTCGTAGTCCACGCCACATCTGCATGAATTCGGGCGATCAGCCCCGAATCTCAAAAAATTTTGGGGGC